TTCCTGCTGCAGCAGGAACTGCCAGTGCTCCCTGGGGGTCTTGATGCCCCTTGGCCTGAGAAAGCACCGAAGCAAAACTTCTTGACATTTTTGGGGTCCGTGTTCCAGAAACAGCAGAGTCAGAACTGGCTTGGGTTGGAAAGACCTTAAAGATCACCCAGTCCCACCCCCTGCCATGGGCAGGGACACCTTCCACCAGCCCAGGTTGCTCCAAGCCCCGTCCAGCCTGGCCTTGGACACTTCCAGGGATGGGGCAGCCACAGTTTCTCTGGGAAACCAGTGCCAGGGCCTCCCCACCCTCACAGCCAACAATTTCTTCCCAATATCCCACCTAACCCTGCCCTCCTTCAGCTTAAAGCCATTCCCCCTTGTCCTGTCCCTCCACTCTTTGTCCCAAATCCCTCTCCAGCTCTCCTGGAGCCCCTTTAGGCCCTGGAAGGGGCTCTCAGCTCTCCCTGGAGCCTTCTCTTCCCTAGGCTGAACACCCTCAGCTCTCTCATGTTTCCATTCAAACATCATGGAAACACCTTTCATTCCCAGTCTGCCTTTTCTTTATTATTATTGGGTTTGTGTACCAGAATGAGGAAGTGCCCTGAGTGTGAATACCCTTGGAGAGCTGCACAGGAGCTCTTCCAGTGTCCAGGATTTGTGTCGTGTTAGCTCCCAAAACCACAGCGTGTGTTTTGCCATTCCAGTTTCATTCCTGGTGTCCTGCTTTTGCTGCTCCCTGCCCTGTGCACTGTTGGTTATGGCTTTTCCTCCCTCCTGCAGGGGTGGGCCCGGGGTGCACAGATGAAACCCTGCTCTCTGCCATCGCCAGTGCCCTGCACACCAGCACCATGCCCATCACAGGCCAGCTCTCTGCAGCTGTGGAGAAGAACCCTGGGGTTTGGCTCAACACCTCACAGCCTCTCTGCAAAGCCTTCATGGTGACAGATGAAGATATCAGGTATTAACTAGAAACACCACTTGGAACAAAGTCCCTTGGGGTAAAACAGTACTTTTTTTGTCGGTGTCTGGTAGAGCACTGTGGCTTGGGAATTAATTTGAATGGCTCCTCAGCAGCAGAGGAGACAAAAATGGTCACACAAAGCTGCTCTCGTGTGCTCAAAGCCCATTGTTTTTTATTTTGGCCATGCTCAGTTACTCTGAAGTTTCAGGTTTTCATGTCAGAGTGTCCTTTTGTTGACAGAGGTGTCTGAATTGGGGTGACCCTGATTAGGCATCTCTGAGCAGAGATGGGATTGGAGAAATCCTGGACATTGGGATTGGGTTCTCTTGACCCTTCCTCTGTGTCAGTAAATAAAATAAAATAAATAAAATTTGTGTGTTGACCAGATCAAACTCCTGCCTGCTGTGGTGGCAGGGAACAAGGTGCAGTTTATTTAGCTATAGGTTGCTTTAGTAATGAATTATATTGCTAAATCAGGACTGCTCAAACTCAGCTTTAAGTGCATGGTAGAGGACTGAAAATACCAAACAGTAACCTCCAGGTGGGCTGTTTGCACTCACTAAATGCTTAAAGATAGTCCTTGCTTTGACTGCTTGAGAAATCTTTTGAAATTACAGGATAAATTTTTTGTGCTTGATTTGTACCAGAATGACCAGGAAAAACACTCTAATGCTTATAACTTTGATTTCCTGTGGCTGAGCTGAAATAGGAGACCTGTGAGCCACTGATCAGTGATCTGTTCTTTACTGGGACTTTGACAGCAAAGGAGCCATAAAATTTAAGGTTTGGACTCAAAAGGGGAACGAGCAAAAAGAAATTATCAGAAACTTCATTTTTCTCCAGTCTGATTTTTGGAAAACTGGGCAGGGTAGGCTGAGGTTTTCTTGTTCAATATTAGTACTAGGAGTTAAAAAGCAAAAAAGTCTTTGAGTCAGCTGCTAGATTGGTCGAATTCCAACCAGAATTCAACAGGGCACGGGGCTTGTAGCAGAAAATATTGGGCAGGTTTTTAAAGTGTTTTGCATCTTCCCCATCAATATAATAATGCCAAGGGTTTTGGCATTATGAGTGCAGTTCTCAGAGGGCTTTTGCAATCCATGCTTGTCTGTCCAGCCTCGTGTTGGAGGGGTTTGAGGTTCCTTTCCCTGGGAGGTTCCTTTCCCTGGGAGGTTCCTTTCCCTGGGAGGTTCCTTTCCCTGGGGGTTGATGGTGGGTGTTCCTTGCTCTGGGCAGGAAGCAGGAGGAGCTGGTGCAGCAGGTGAGGAAGAGGCTGGAGGAGGCCCTCATGGCTGACATGCTGGCCCACGTGGAGGAGATCGCCAGGGATGGGGAGCCCCCCTCAGAGAAAGAGGGAGGGGAGGAAGAAGGAGAAGAGGAAGAAGAGGAGGAGGAGCAGGACCATGACCAGGAGATGGAGAATGTATAGTCCAGGTAAGGTTATTGCTCACCTTGAACTGGACTTCACTGGAGGCAGGAAGGTTTTCAGGGGGAATCTTAAACGTGGACAGATCTTTGCTTTTTAGCATGTGCTTTTAAAGGGGTGCTGGGTGTGTGTCAGGGGAGAACCCCCCTGCAGAGCTGCCTCCAGCCCTGGGGAACAGCAGGAGGAGGACACGGAGCTGCTGGAGAGAGTCCAGGGATGCTCCAAGGGCTGGAGCCCCTCTGCTCTGGAGCCAGGCTGGGAGAGCTGGGGGGGTTCACCTGGAGAAGAGAAGGCTCCAGGGAGACCTGAGAGCCCCTTGCAGGGCCTAAAGGGGCTCCAGGAGAGCTGGAGAGGGACTGGGGACAAGGGATGGATGGACAGGACGGGGGGGAATGGCTTCCCAGTGCCAGAGGGCAGGGATAGATGGGATATTGGGAAGGAATTGTTGGCTGTGAGGGTGGGGAGGGGCTGTCCCAGTGTCCAAGGCCAGGTTGGATGGGGTTGGGGAAGGGTCTGGGGCACAGTCTGGTGAGGAGTGTCCAAGGGAGCTGGGAGGGCTCAGCCAGGAGAAAAGGAGGCTCAGGGGGCACAATCCCAGCTCTCCCAGCCTGTCTCCAAAGCAGAGGGGCTCCAGCCCTGGGATCAATTTAGTGGCCTCCTCTGGAGCCTGTGAGGCAAGAATCAAGAATATGGAGGGGGAAAAATGGAATATTTAGGATGAATAACAGAAGAAAAGCCCCTTTGGAGGGAATGACACCTGGACTTCAGGTAGAAGGGTGATTTTTATGTTAAGCAATCCTTCAAGTTGGAAGATTGATTACAATGTGAAATCTGCTTGGCCTTTGGGAGATCCCATCTTATCTCTGGGCTTTCTTCCCATTTTCCCACATCACTAGCAGTAGCTTTTGGACAATGAATACCTTGAGTTCTTTTCTGCTACAAAGGTCTGGCAACAGGCAAGAACCAGAACAAAGTGTCTGCTGCAGGTGAAACCCAGGAGATAAAGACATGGATATGTTATGGCCGTGGGAATTCTTCTTTTTAGAACTCTCTCGCCTGTAAAGATACAAAAAGTTCTTACTGACTTACAAGGTCTTTTTTGTCTCTTCCAGGGAGTTCCATCTAAGAATTCCCAGTATAAAGCCAATCAGCAGGGTCAGCACAACCATTTACAGAGCCAAGAGTGCACCACCAGTCCAACTGTACCCCGGAGCATTTGGATGTACTTCAGGAAACTCGGGAGCTGATGGTTCATTCACTGCTGGGGAGTTTTGCAGGTGGAACTTTACTAAACTCCACTCCCCCTCCTTTTTCTAAAGGGGTGGGGTGATTGGGAATGCAAAAGTGGGAGGGGATAAAGGAATATCACATGGTGGGAGGGGAAATAATAGGAACCAAATTTGCTGTCTCTTTTTTTTTTTATTATTATGTTTTGTGGGTCAGTGCGAGGTGATACATTTTTAAGCTTTTTTTATCAAAATACCTTTAATGACCCATGGAAACAATTTTCTCTCTAACCCAGGAGAGAGAGAGAGATGCTGTTTCACTCCTTGGCTGCTCTGCTGTGGGCTACCTGTTTGTACCTGGCTGTAGGGAGGTCATTTCATGTCGTGGATTGTCATTCCATATGTGAATTCCAGTCACTGAGTCGCCGTTTCCTCACGAGACCACATTGGTCTTGGAAGTGCAGTCTCAGAGCTGAACTGCCAGTGCCTGGTCCCAGCTGAGGTTTGGGGAGTAGGGGGAGTTACACTCGAGGAATTGGGCTGCCAGCTCTGGTAACTGGGCTTTGGGGTTGGTTCCACACCACACTGAGAGCACTCCCGAGCACAGTGTGGACTCTGTGTGTCCAAACACTCTGAACAGAGTTTTGGAGAGAAATAAACCCAACCTGAGGTATGTTTTGGTTTGGTTCAAGTCCAGTCAGAAGGACTTTTTTTTCTCAACTGGGGATGGAAGGATGACTCATTTCTGACTGACAATGAGGAAAACTTCCTCCTTTTTCTCTTCTGGTGCCAAGAACCTGCCCTCTGTTCCTCTGTGTGGAGGGAAGGGGATCCATTCCAACAGGTGTGGCCACACACCTGCTTTCGTGTGCAGTAATGTTCTGACCTCTTTAAAAAAAAAAAAAGAAAAAAAAAAGAAAGGAAAAAGGTTGATTTTTCTATAATTGATATCTAAAAAGGAATGTAAAGGTTTTTATTAAGTGTTTAAATCTTTTCTTATTTGCATGTGCAGTGAAGTGACCAGCATTTTGTGTCGAAAGTTGAACTGATGTGAAACCTGCCTTAATGTGTTTATAAGTATTTGGCTTCACCATGGGTACCTTGATTGATTCCTCAGTCTCTTCCAGTACGTCTGTGAGCATATTGGGGTAACTTGTGGCTAAAAATGGATTTCTCTGGGGAGGGAGACAAGGAGAGGGGAGGAAGATGAGAGTTTATAGCTTGGAGAATGCGAAAGTTATTTTAGTCTTAGGGTATCCATTGCACAATTCATGCTGAGAGAACAGTAGAAAGTGGTGGATTAAACACTGTGCCACTGACCAATTGTACAAGTTGGTGGTATCCCAAAACTTGGGGAAGAAAGTAGCTCCCAGAGCCTTTATTGTGTGAGGATGATGAGCAGGGACAGCAGGGGACAAGGGAGTTGCCTTTGGGAGTAGTTCAGCTTCGTGATCCCTGGAAAATATCCCCTGCCAGAGTGATTGATCCTGTGTTCACCCTTTTCTTAGAGGTTTGAAAATACAAAACCCTGTGATGTTGCTCACTTGAGTACTGCAAGGAGACTGAGCTGTGCTTTGCTGCTGCTCTGCCAGGTGCTGCTCTGGGGAGCTGTGCCTGGCACTGCAGGCAGTGACCATTATTTTCCTTTCTGAACAGTCTGTTACGGTTGTTACTCTGTAAACCTGTCCTCTTGTAAGTCATGGTGCTGAATTAAATGTTTCTCACAGAGAAGAGGTTCCTCTAGTCTGCCTCAAGCCCTTACCTGGAGCTTTGTGCTCTGCCCCTCCCAGTTATCCCAGCAGAGATGCTCGGGGGGGTTTGCTGGGGGCTCCACTCTGAGATTTGGATCCTGATATTTGGGGCCTGGCAGGGGGAAATACAGAGGGAAACTTGGGGAAAACTGTTAATTCTTAGTGCAGAGTTCCCTCCTGTGTCCTCATGGAGTGAGAGGCTGCCAGGGTGTCCCATCTCATGGGCAGGTTGGTTATGGAGAATCATGGAATCAGTTGGAAAAGGCTGGAAAAGACCTTGGAGATCATCAAGTCCAACCATCACCTCAGCACCGTGTTCACCACTAACCCCTGTCCCCAAGTGCCACATCCACACGTTGTTTGAGCACTTCCAGGGATGGTGACTCCACCCCTACCCTGGGCAGCTGTGCCAGGGCTTGACAACCCTTTCTGTGGAGAACAAACCTTCCTAATCTCCAATCTAAACCTCCCCTGGCTCAACTGGACACCATTTCCATGTGTCCTTTGAATCCCAACCCCAGCAGTTTATAACCCCCACCAGAGGTGTCCTTGTGAGCACAGCAATCACCTCCTGACACTGTTTCTTTTTTAAAGCTTGTTTTAATATCTAGTGATGTCTTTATTTACTTTTACTTGAATCTAAACATAACCACAAGCATTTGCAGAACCATAACATAGAGGATTTAAATGTTGATACTCACATTTTGATTCACTGAATTATCAAGTTTAAATTGCTGCCACCCCTCGTTTTCCCCACTGTGCTTTCCCTGTCCAGCTTTCTCTTTCCTTCAGAGATTTATAAAGATTATTCATATTTCTGTTCATATGGAGTTGACTGTGCAAAGTGCCAAAAGGGGCCCAGGACTCCTCTCACAGCCAAAGAAACTGGAATAACTTTACCTGCTTATCAAGACAGGTGAGTAAACCAAATATTTCTTCTCACTGACCATGATGTCTTTCTCAGGTTGCTGCAATAACTGGATTAGTTTGTCTTATCACAGCCTTGGAAGTGAATAATGGGGATAAAGTGCCATCATCAAATATATCCCCAGGGTGGAGGAAGCAGCTTTTTGAGGTCTGACTTGTAAAGCAGATGGTTAGTAAAGAATATATTTAAGGGCAGTAGAACAGAATTGAGGCCAAACTTATATTTCATTAATCAATAACCTGTTCTGCACAGTGTGTTGGAGCTGGTCCAGTAAGGTGGCTCCAGTTTTTATCTCCCCACTTGGTTTTCCAAAACTTCCAGATTTTGAGGGAATGCCATTATCTCCCTGTTTGGATTCCCAGTGTTACCTTTGTTGAATCCTGGTTGGATGAAATTTTGTGCAGTCCAAAGAGTGAATTAGCATGGATGTGGGACAGGCTGGGTTTGACCTGCAGAGCTTCTGGAGGTGGTTTTGCCCAGGAAAAGTTGGCTCGATTCACATCTGAAGTTGAACTTGCTGAACTGGCTGTTGAGCAAGGAAAGGGAGGGGTTTTCTTGCTTGTAAACTGAGCACATCAGGAAGGGAAAACACTCAGGAATGACATGGCTGGACTCTGGGAATGCAGGCATGTTAAACCCTGCCTGGGGTGGCTTTGTCATGGCTGTGAGTGAGAGTCATACAACAGTTTGGGTTGGAGGGGACCTTAAAGCTCATCCAGCCCCACCCTCTGCTGTGGGCTGGGACACCTTCCCCCAGAGCAGGTTGCTCCAATCTGCCCTTGGACACTTCCAGGGATGGGCCACAGCTGCTCTGGGAAACCCGTGCCAGGGCCTCCCCACCCTCCCAGCCAACAATTCCTTCCCAATATCCCATCTAAATACTCTGCAGGATGTGGATGAAGCAGGACACCTGGAAGGAAAGCTGGTCTTTCAGCACTCCTGACTCGTGTCCTTCTGTCTTGCTTTAGGGAGAGACCATTCTGTCTGCACTGACACTCCTGGGCCTGGGAGAGAGGGTGGGATAATGTGTTTAAAGGGGGAGGAGGCAGGAGAATGTTCTTATGGACATAATCCCAAATAACTGGGATTATCTAAGTGGAGAGTTAATCCTGTTCTTCATTAAATAAACAACCTCCAAGAGTCCAGATGCCCATGCAGATATTTGGATGATACCACTTGCTCCCTATCAAATAAAATGCTGTTGTCACTCTGAGCAGGAATTTCTGCATCCACTGGAATTGCTTCAGAACAGACTTTGGGGTCGGTCGAGGTTCCCAGTGCTGCATATTTCAGCTCCCTGCATTAATGAAGCACAGAGAGCCACGAGAAGGAGGTGTCCTAATTCTGCAGCACAGAAAATAATGTCCTGTATGGGCTGTGGGGAGCTAAAAACTTGGATTTGTTCTCAGATTAGCAGGGATCAACTTGAGCTAATGAGGGAAAACCATTCCTTCCTTCCCCCCCTCCCTGAGTCTGACCCTGTGAGAAGCTGAGTGTAGGAGAGAACAGCACAGAACAGCATGTGCTAAATGGTATTTACAGTGACAGAGCATTTGGGAGGGTGAGGAGAGGAAAAAAACGTGTTGAACTTCAAAAATGACCCACCAAATGCACTAGAAATTGTCAGGGCATTGGTTGGGAGGCTGATTTAGTGTTGCTGATTTCTTCTCAATATCCACAAATAACTGCTGCTAACTAATAGCACAAACTGCTAGTAATAAATAACTTCTGCCAAGCATAGGAAACTATTTAGTCCATTCATTAAATAAATCTCTGGACTGTTAGTGGATTTTTCTTACATTGCAGAGTCACAAATGGAAATGGTTTGAGACTG